CACTAATCTAATAGTTCGATGATCGCTTGTGCGCCGGCCGCAAGAGACCATAAGCTTTCTTTGATATCTCGGTGGTCAAAAGTTCATTGCCCTTATCACATTACAACTGGTTTTGCAAATATGATAAACGCTTAGTTACTACATAAAACTGTCAATATGTCACCCCTCTACTTAGCTTTGTAATACCACCTCGCATTCAGTTTATAAATATTTATGATTTAAAAAATGAACAGTCTTTGCTTGTAGAATGTAGAAGCTGCAGAAGTCTTTACGTCGTATCTGTACCAAATTATTCCATATGTGTCTACCTGATTCTGCTGATGTTGTTGCTGCAACTGCTAGTGTTGATGTGTTTGTGTTGTTTTCGTGCTTAACGTTCTTAAGCGGAGCTGTTGGATAGAGCTCCAATAGAAGGGGAGCCGCGCAAAGAACTCTCCATCTTTAGCGATTGTCAGAGAACAGCTGTTTGTGTAAACATGTCAAAATTCAGCAGGAAATACGAAGCGCAGGGTTGTAGTGGAAAAATTTGCTTGCAGCGGAAGTAGAACAAGATTCCGTAGGAATGGCTTACGTATAGTTCAATCAAAGGAGGTAAATTTTTTAGACGGACCGTGACGATTTTGACCGTATCTGAAACGTTAGATAGAAGAATTCGTCTCCGTTTTCACTCTGCCGCAGCATTTCTTTTATTTTCGCCTCGAATACGGAAAATACAAGCAAAAGAGAAGGAAAGCGGTAATTGTGAATTTTCGTGGTTACTTGGCATAAGTGATTGGAAAAATGTAATTTAATTTAGAAAATATATAATTGAAGGTGTCAAATATATGATATTCAGTGCATGTGTAAAATACAGAGGTGATTGTTTATAAAAGTATTTTCAAAGAACGTAGATAACAAGAAGGGACAACTCGTTATAATTGTAGCGAAAGTGCGCAACAGGGGCGTGCTTTCTCTTTTGACCTAGTGCGTTTTTTGATTAAATGAAAAGAGAAAACACGCCCCTGTTGCGCACTTTCGGCACAATTATAACGAGTTGCCCCTTTTTGTTATCTACGTTCTATGGTATCCTTTAATAAAAAGTGGTTGTAAGTGCAAAGCGTTTGTCAACAAGTGCCGATTGTTGGTGTCCATGGACAAAGAAGGTAAATCTATTTATCTATAGCTATATCTATAGATTTACCTTCTTTGCCATGGATAAAATTGATAATTTTTTTAAACAAAATCAGTGGACTTTCATATAAAAATGAATTAGTTTAATAATAAATCTATTCGTTTATATGTGTGTTCCAAGCGAGGAACAGCAAGCATGCTTGAAATATAGTGTGTGAATACAGCTACAGCTGGCAACCAGTTTAGCAACCCTGCGTGCTGAATCACGCTTCGTGTTTTAATTGAAAAAAGGCCCGAAGGCGCCATTTTTCTTCTGCATTTGTAGCCAGACGGAGCTTGTGCTTGTGAAATTAAAGAAAAAATTTGAATATACAGAAATAAAGTTCTTCTAAGTACTTAAAAACCATAAAATATATTCACTGAGCATCAATATTACCGGAGAAACAGAGACAATAGGATTTTACGGAGTTTGAATAGGAGAAAATACTTTTGAAAGATCGGGCAAAGGTGCCTGGCCATATCTGAGTTTGCGGAAGCTTCCGCCTTGCGACGTTTTATAGAAATTGTGGTAAAATACATCTTTTTGGATACTGGATCCAGAAACAGCTTATCGTTTAAGGTAAGATTTACTAAATATGTATTTATATTTTACTCAACTCAATGTAAGTTAGTTTTGTTCGTCTTCGCCATTTTACATATGGTGGTAGTTCTTTGTTCTGTGGCCTTGGGCTTTTTCGGTGTGGGTCTGGGATGGAAAATCGAAATTTCAAATTGTACTTGATTTGACAACTGAAATGTGGGTGCGTTCAGAAATGCATCAAGCCAATGCATCAGTCTCTGTTATTTCTAAACTATAACTGATAGAAATGTCAAATATGCGTAACCACGGTTAAAAGCCGAATTATAACTTAGTTGCGTAAACACGACATTTCCATCAATTATAGTTTAGAAATAAAAGAGACTGATGCTTTGGCTTCATGCATTTCTGAACGCACCCTGTACCTCATTTGGCAATTGAAATATACCTTATTGTCAAATGTATCTAAAACTGAGCTAACTATTTTGTTAACTTTTTTTATATGTGTATATTTACATTGGGGTGCTCCAAAAAAATGAAATCGGAGTTTTAATGCCCACCCTCTAGGATTGTACTATACCGAAAAAGTAGGTTTTATTTGGAATAAAAAAAAAATATTAGGGATCGCTCAAAGCACTTGAAAGTTTTTCCTTTATTTTATATGGGGAAAACAAGGGTTCCTAGAAACGGTTTAGAATTCTTGAGAAATATTAATTTTCGGTAGAAAATTTTGTTTCTCTTCTGGAGATTTTCAATAATATTGGTTATTAAACCTTTTTCTATTATTAACTAGTTTTTATAGGCCCCCAAAAACCCATAAAAAATTCAATGGGGATTGTATTTAAAAATGGTATAATAAATAATTGCGTTTTATCATTGGCAGTCCCCTAAAGAGAAGCAACTTTTTCCGTTAAAAATTTAGATTTTCAAGAATTATATACCATTTCTACGAAAAATTGTTTTCCCCCATATAAAAAGCATGGAAAAGTTTGAGCGCTTTGAGCGACCACTAAATATTTTCTTATAAACAAGAAAACTGGTATAATTTTTGTCGGTATTATAGCTCTAGCTCTTTTAGAAGTGGTCCTAGGTAGTAGTCCCTAAAGGAATAATAAATTGGGCACTTGAAGAGCAGATGTTCGAGGCTTTCCATTTCGCCTATATTGCACTGCATACATAAAGCATTTTGGGTTTTTTTTTGTAAACCACGCCTTTGATACAAAACCTTTGTGGTATTTCGTGGACAGGCGAACTTGAGCTAAAATTTGACTTACATATCCATCGTTGTAAGATAAATGAATTCCCTTCACACCATGTTAAATTCAGATTTTAGATATTTCCGCCTATAATTATTATTTGCTTCCTCCACACTTTCAACTCATTCACAATTAAAATTCACACATGCAGTGTAGCTACTTTGCTAGAAATCCCTCAAAACGTGAGTTTTTCACTATTAACAAAGAATTTAATAAAGGAATTTGACCACTGCTAAGATTTCTTGTTGACGCAATGATGTTCTTTGTTTACAAAATGTTTCTTAATTTAACCTATATCGAGCTCAATGTACCGAATGTACCTTTTGATTCGAAAAAGTCGTAAAAAGGTACACTTGTACCTACTTTTCCATCCCTGGTGTGGATTCGTAATCGTTGCCGATGTCAGCGTACACGCATAGTATTCATGTATGTACATAT